TAATACATCAATACGTAGCGTCTAGATCTCTGAGGTTTTCTGATCAGTCCTTGTTGGCTGTACCTAGATCTAGGTTTAAAACAAAAGGCGACTGTAAGATTCCGGCCATCAAGCTGACCTAAGATCTGTGGACACTTTTGATACCTTTAAAAAGAAACTTAAGATCCACTTGTGCAGACTTGCCTTTATTTAGTTCTATCATTTTATACCCTTTTAATTGTTGTATCTTGTTCAGTATTGTAAAGCACTTTGTGACTTTTGCTCTTGAAAAGCTCTCGCTCTATATAAACCTTAGTTACTTATGTATTTTTGATGCTGTAACATGAACACAGTGGTGACTGCAGTGGGGCAACAGTAGGGACTCATAGAAAAACAACACAGGTCATCTAATTCATGTATCTCTCAGTTAACCAAAAATGTTTATTTGAATTATTAGAACATCAAACATTAGTTTTTACTATTTTTCTAGCTGGGCTGTTGGTGGTCTTGCTACTTTACTAGTGAAAGCCAATTTTTGCTGGTAGGTGAATTCACAAAATACACATCCAGCACTTTTAGTAGTGCTCAGTCCCCTATGATCAAATCACCAAGTATTACCTTCTTGTCTATAAGCAATGCTCTGTCTCCATTCCCACTTAAAGGTCAAACAAAAATTTGCAGTCAGTTTCTCAGATTAATTACAGCCTGCATTATTTTCACTTACCACCGATGCTTTCAACATGTGATTTTCTTCATGCAAAATACTTCTTGCACTGAAAGCTGCTGATGTTACCATAATAACATTTCCCTCCATTAGAAAGTTACTTCAGACTGCTGGCAGCTAACAGATGTCCCAGATGACATAAATGCAACAGTGAAAGCCAAACATGACTTTATTTTGAGGTTTCAGAACATGTTGTAAAGCTCTTACTGCTTTAGGTAGCAGACATGCTTGTGCTTTGACGTGATGAAGTAAATAAATTCCAGACAGTTTGTGGATAACAAGTTGCTAGTCAGACTTCAAGAATGAGGCCGCTGGATTTTTCCGAACAAGATGCTGGAATTTCCAACTTTACTCTCCATATGTCAAAAAAAAAAAAAAAAAAAAAAGGAAAAGCATTAGCTCACTCATGGATTCTCCTTCTTTTTTTCCCTTAAAAAGATAAAAAAAATCTTCTCACACAACTCTACGTAAAAATGCTTTCCAAGCTTTTCCTCTTTTCTTCCCTTAAACCTTTGCTGCTTCTCCCCTCTACGCTCAGCTTCTGGTCTTCTTTCCGTCTGCCTCACTGTCTCTATTCATAGCATTCCTTAACTCTTTCACATAGCTTTCGCTCGCTGGATGTGTCTACAGTTTTGTTCCTTGTCTCTCTCTCTTTCCGTCTGTGTGT